TTTTTTTTTTTTTGGTTATCATTTAATTCTCTAAACACAATTTTTTTGGCTGGTTTGAAGGCTTGAACTCAGGGCATAGGCACTGTCCTTTAGCTTTTCACTCAAGGCTGGTACTCTACCACTTGAGCCACAGTTCCACTTCCTGCTTTTTGGTGGTTGACTGGAGATAAGAGTCTCAGAGTGGGAATGTGGTTTAATGGTAGAGTGCTTGCCTGGCATGCATGGGGCCCAGGGTTCAATTCCTTGGTATCACATAAATTAAAAATAAAATAAACAATTTAAAAGAAAGTCTCAGTGACTTTTTTGCTTGGGCTGGCTTCAACCTTGATCCTGACTAGTGCCTGGGAAAATTTCTCTTTTTTTTGGTAGTATAGTTTATACTTAGGACTTCACACTTGCTAGGCCGTTGCAGAACCACTGAAGCCACACATCCAGTCTTAGTTTGTTGTTGTTGTTGTTATTGTTGTTGTTATGAAGCTTAAACTCAGGTCCTGGGTGCTGTCCCTAAGCTTTGCTTACTTAGGCTAGCACTCTACCACTTTGAGCGACAACTCCATTTCCCATTTTCTGGTAAATGGGAGGTAAGAGTCTCATGGACTTTCCTGACCAGGTTGGCTTCAAATCTCAGCCCTCTAACTAGGATTACAGGTCACCAGCAGTCAGCTTTGCTCTTATTTTGAGATTGGATGACAGGTATAAACCACCTCACCAGCTATTGGCTGAGATAGTTCGATTAAAAATAAGATCATCCAAATCTTTGCCATCTTCATAGCTAGTATTATCATTCTGAACAACCAGCATCCTGCCATTTTCCTTTAACTTCTTTTTTTTTTTTTTTTTTGGGTCCGGTCGTGGGGCCGGAACTCTGGGCCTGGGCGCTGTCCCTCAGCTCTTCAGCTCAAGGCTAGCACTCTACCACTTGAGCCACAGCATCACTTCCGGTTTTTTTTCTTTTTGCTTATGTGGTACTGGGGAATCGAACCCAGGTCCTCATGCATGCAAGGCAAGCACTCTACCACTGAGCCACCTTCCCAGCCCTTTCCTTTAACTTCTTAAACATTTAAATTGCTTTAACACCACAGCTGATCTACAGTCCACATTGTGCCAGCTTAAGGTTAATTTCTTTTTCTTCCTTTTTTTGTCAGTCTTGGGGCCTGAACTCTGGGCCTGGGCACTGTCCCTCAGCTCTTTTTTTTTTTCTTTTGGCGGGGGGGTCCAGTTGTGGGGCCTGAACTCCAGGCCTGGGTGCTGTCCCTCAGCTCTTCAGCTCAAGGCTAGCACTCTACCACTTGAGCCACAGTGCCATTTCCGACTGTTTTTCTTTTTGCTTATGTGGTACTGAGGAATCGAACCTCATGCATGCAAGCCAAGCACTCTACCACTGAGCCACCTTCCCAGTCCCTCCCTCAGCTATTCAGCTCAAGGCTAGTGCTCTACCACTTGAGCCACAAAGCCACTTCCGGATTTTTCTGCTTATGTGGTGCTAAGGAATCGAACCAAGGCCTCATGCATGCAAGGCAAGCACTGTACCATTGAGCCACCTTCCCAGCCCTTATGGTTAATTTCTAGTGGCTATTTTTTCTTAACTTGTATGACATGTCAATTTCTTGTTAGAAACTTGCATGGCTAGTTTTCACTATACATTATACATCCAAATGACACATTTTAGAAGATTCTGTTCCCTAAAGAGCACTAAATAAATAATACTTGTATTTTTTTTTTTAATGAAAAAGCCAGGTACCAGCAGGTGATGCCTGTAATCTTAGTTACTCAGGAGGCTGAGATCTAAGGTTCATGGGGGTTTTTTTGTTTTGTTTTGTTTTTTTGGGTCTGGTCGTGGGACGTGAACTCTGGGCCTGGACACTGTCCCTCAGCTTTTCAGCTCAAGGCTAGCATTCTACCACTTGAGCCACAGCGCCACTCCCGGCTTTTTGCTTTTTGCTTATGTGGTACTGAGGAATTGAACCCAGGGCCTCATGCATGCAAGGCAAGCACTCTACCACTGAGCCACCTTCCCAGCCCCGAGGTTCATGGTTTGAAGCCAGTCTAGGTAGGAAAGTCCGTGAGACTCTTATCTCCAATAAACCACCAGAAAACCAGAAGTGGTGCTGTGGCTCACAGTAGTAGAGCACTAGACTTGAGCTGAAGAGTTCAGGAACATCGCCCAGAGTTCAAGCCCCATGACCAAAAAAATATGAAAAAGGAAAAACAATGAAAAATAGAAGTTCACAATATAGAAAAACTAATCAAATAAAATCTTCCTGACAAAATTTTTAAATAAATGATTCCTGTACTTGAGCTAACAAAAAGTGATTAAACTATTTTATATAACAGTGTCAAGTGTAGAAATACTCAATAATTTAAGTTTTATAATGTAAAATTTATATTATTATAAAATCAGAGGCCAGGGCTGGGAAGGTAGCTCAGTGTAGAGTGCTTGCCTTGCATGCATGAGGCCCTGGGTTCGATTCCTCAGCATCACATAAGAAAAAAGAAAAAAGCCGGAAGTGGCACTGTGGCTCAAGCGGTAGAGCGCTAGCCTTGAGCTGAAGAGTTGAGGGACAGCGCCCAGGCCCAGAGTTCAGGCCCCACGACTGGACCCAAAAATAAATTAATTAATTAATTAAAAAAAATGAAATCAGAGGCCAAGTAATCCAAAAGTTTAGAATGTCAAAAAATACAGAAGTGATTGTTGGTATTGCTTAAAGGCAAAGTAAAATATGAATATATCATACCAAAAGAGACCTGGGTTCACTAACATAAATTAGTTGAGAACTCTAAACAGGTCACTTAATTTTTCTGGGATTCAAGTTTCTTTGTTTACAAAATAAGAAAATCTCTTAACAACTACCTAAAGGTAGACATTACTTAAAAAACAAATCTACATTTTACTCTTAAGTTATAGAATACCAAATTTCTTTTCTCTTTTTTTTCTTTTTTTTTTTGCTAGTCCTGTGGCTTAAACTCAAAGCTTGGGCACTATCCCTGGGCTTCTTTTTGCTGAAGGATAGCACTCTACCACTTGCTCTACAGTGCCACTTCTGGCTTTTCTGTTTATGTGGTACTGAGGAATCGCCCCTGGGCTTCATGCATGCTAGGTAAGCACTCTACCACTAAGCCACATTCCAGCCCAAAGAACCCAATTTCTTATTAAAGCAGTTTACGTAAACCATAATTTCTCCTCATACTTTACTTACCAGAAGTCAGATCTTTGTAGTTTTGCTGATTTGTCAAAACCTGAGTAAGAACAGACCTCATTGCTCCTCCCATTTTAGTGAGTTCTTCTAGAAAGGAAATTTGAGGTTCCAAAAGTTGAAGGACTTTGTTAAGATCTTTTTCTGATGGTACATCAGCTGCTAATTGAAAAAATGCAAAAATTATTAAGACAGAATGTATTTTATATATAAATAAAATTAAGAAGTTTAAGATATTTTCTCAAAATTATATTTATTCTCTTTACATTACACCGGAATAATGATAGTATTTTATAATCACTGTATTTTATAATTTTAAAAAGTCAATATTATGGGCTGGGAAGGTGGCTCAGTGGTAGAGGGCTTGCCTTGCATGCATGAGGCCCTGGGTTCGATTCCTCAGCACCACATAAAGCAAAAAGAAAAAAGCTGGAAGTGGCGCTGTGGCACAAGTGGTAGAGCGCTAGCCTTGAGCTGAAGAGCTGAGGGACAGTGCCCAGGCCCAGAGTTCAGGCCCCACGAC